TTAATTTTCTACAGAAGCCGCTTCGCAACAGACACTAAGACCCAACAGACACACTTCAAACTGCTCAGCTGTCTGTTCAAGGAAAGCGCGGTCACTCCTCTGTGTGTGTGTGTGTGTGTGTTTGTTTGTGTATCATCATTTCCCATTAATAGAAGCATACAGCTGGTGTGCCCTGCCTCCACATGCTCATGTATGCAGACACACACACACTGTACCAGAGGATGATCACCTCCCTCTGTCTTTTAAATGCTCCATCAAAGCCTCATCAGGTCCTTCATGAAAACAAATGGAGGCTGCTGGGGGATTTATATAAATAAAGGGAGGGAAAATTTGACCTTTGATTGTCATTGAGCCAGGCGGAAGGACGGCGAGGGATGGGGGGAGGAACAGAGGTGGCGGTTGGTCAGGAACGATAAGGAAAGGGAGACTGTGGAGAGATTTTTTTAAAGAGCTGGAGCTTGTGGTGTGAAGAGCCAAAAAAAAAAACCAAAAAAACATCCTGATGCTTTTTGGTTTCATAAGTGGGTGTGTTCCCCTTTGTGTTTAGCTTTCTGCTCTCATCTTATCTCCTCTGACTGTCTCTCTCTTCTTCCCTTCCTCTCCTTCTCTCTCCATTATTTGCAGAGTGAGAAGTAGATCAAAGCATATTACACTAGCTATGTGCTGGGCACATTATCTCACTCTGGTTCATATTCTCATTTTTGGAAATGCATGCTCCAGACGGCGTGAAGAGTGAGATGAGAGTGAGGTCGATGGAGTCTGCAGCAATGCTTCAGGTTTTCTTTCAATCTGGACAAAACACAGGGGGGAGACAGAGCAATAAAATGCAGTGTCGTTTAAGGAGGGAAAAGTAGAAAAAACAATGAATCCGACTGTTGCATCTACCATAGGATTGTAGCTAAACTAATAATCCATGACATTTAATGCAAATGTTCGTTTTGCTTCAGGAGTAGCTGCAACTTAATGATGTGATTCAGTCTGTTTCCAGTTTAGAGTGTAGGGCTGCAGGCACTATAGTCTGATTTGTTGTGCAGGAACTGAGTTGTTTGCACAGTTGGTGTTACTGTGTGTGAGTCACCTACAGAAACCAGAATTTGTTAACACAAAATCAAAGGTAAGAGACCCCACAGTCCCATACAAACTGCTAGATTATCTCTTGAGTGTGCAGTGCAGGAAAACCACATCATTAAACATTTAGCAAGAGAGATGAAGACATAAAGCAAATATATAGATAAGATTTTATCTGACCTTGACATAGTGTTAGCGTTGTTGGGATAAGTACAGTGAAGAAGTTAGAAAAAATGCACACCTATTCTAGGGATATGACAGGTGTTTTTATTGTTTTTGTCTTACCAATTCATTGAACCAGCAAATTTTAGGCAGATAAACTTTAAAGCTATAGCCATTTTCATACCTGCTGCTGCTTTGGTTTAATTTAGACATGTAATTATACTAAATAAACATCTTAATTTTTCATGGAAAATGGGATGCAAACCCTGGTCTTTAAGGTTGGTTTCAAACACTTTGTACGTGCAGCCATCCATCCCAATCTTCCCATAGTTTGTTTTCAGCTGTTTGAACAAATAACCAGTGATAGTTCTCTGATAGTCTTCATTCATCTGACTTAACTAGTATGTATCCAACCTCTTGATGCTTTTCTGCAATTTTGTTTACACATGTACATTTTATGTTCTCGATATGAAACTCACACTTTTATCCAGAAATGCATTATTTATACGAATTATCGGAATTGCATTAATTATGCAAATAATCACAAGTCTGACAATGCTCACACAAACACACTTAAAGTTGCCATATGTAAGTTTTTGCTATTGCTACATAGCCAACGTTAGCATTAACAGCCGTTTACTTACCAGGCTAGAAGAAATGCTGCAAGTTCAGCATCAAACTTGTGGTGGAAAGTAACCCTCTTGCTTCTATTTCTATCACTTCTTTTCTTCTACTAAAGATAGCATGCTAACCAGCTAGCCCTGGCCCGTCCTCTTTCGTAATACCACATTGCAATAGTGAGTCACTGTATCGCCCGGAAGAAGTAGCACATAACACTGAAGTTTGATGCTTAACTCACAATGTTTCTTCTAGACTGGTAAGTAATCAGCCGTTAATGCTAACGCTGGCTGCTGTAGTACTTTCTGATTACTCAACATAGACTTACAATGTGGACAAAATAAGTCCCAGATTGGCAACATAAGAAGGATCCTGGGTCAGAGTGTCCTTTAAAGTTTATAAAATGCTCAAAGGTCAAATATTCATGTGTAAATTAACAAATGTCTCTTGTGGTTCTCCTGTAGACTAAGTGTTGATGGTGCCTTGTGTAACCAACTTAACCCATCAAATACTTGACAAAAGACCAATTAGTGAGTTTGTTAAATGGTTTATATTCGGAAAACAAGCAAGCATGCAGCATGAAGAAGCAGAAAATATTGCCACTGTGTACCTCGTATTATGAGAAAAATGCTAATGTCACAAGCAAAACCAAAACAGTACCATAACACATCCATAACGAGGCAGAGGATGGACTCGTTGGAGAGTGAGAGAAGGCTATCTAAGACAAGGAACTTGTTGTTTTATCAATAGAAATAAACTGTTTCATGGGCCAATAAATCCGCCTCTCTCAG